CCTGGTTAGGGACCCTATTCTACCATCCACAGAAGAACAGCCTAGAGACCTAAGATCCCTAAACTGACCCAAATATGGTTGGGGTGGGGGTGGAAGTTGGTGGTGGAGTATTTCCCTGCGGGGGAGTTAGGGGCAGTGGCGGCTGGAGTTGCCTGCTTTCTCCTGAAACGCTCAAATGCTTTTATGAGGGTTTCTTCAAGGACAAATTAGAGGGGGCCAGCTCCCTCAGCAGGAAGCAATTAAGACAGAGGAAGAAGACTGACCTGGCCTCAGGGCAGCCATGAACCTAAGGAGGTGACTCACAAGCCTGAGAACTTAGGGTTACTGCTCCCAGCTGAAGTTACACTAGGGGATGGAAAGTCCTGTCCCCTGCCTGCCTCAGCTGTCCAGATCCTGGGTTGCATTCTTCCCAAAACTACCTACTTGGGCCCTCATAATTTCTAGCCCAGCCAGGCTAGTCCACCTACTTTCAGTCTTGTCCTCTGTCCTACATAGTTGCCACTAAGAAGCCAGAGTGATCTTCCTAAGGCACAATGTGACCATGTCAGTTCTTCAAAGCTCCCCTCCACCCTCAGTATGATTGCTCCCTAAATGTCCCTCAAGGCCCTGCATGACTGGGCACCAACTGACGTCAGAAGCCTTTTTCTTCCTCTCATTTCCCCCTCCTGCACCCTGCATTTGAGTCATTCTGAATTGTCCCCCATTTTTCTAAGGGGTCTCTTATACCTTTGTGCTCGTGCACAAATCATTGCCCCTCCCTGGGTCACTCATTCCTTCTCCTGTCTCAATTATCTCCCTTTCTGCAAAGCCCTCCCAATCCTTAAACAATTGACCCTCTGGGTTACACAGTCCCTCATAGGCAACAAGCACTTCCCATGTGACCCGCAGCTAGCTAAGCTGAGCGTACATCCGAGTCTCCATCTTTGTCTTTTAAAGACAAGGAAACAAAAGTCCAGAGATTGATAAAACTGAAACTTGAACTCAGGTCTCCTAACATCAAGGTCACTTATTGTGCTTTCTCAGCCATAGGAGTGTTTCCAAATCAGAATGTGAAAAACAAACTAACCAACCATGGGCTCTGGGCTTCAGAGGAGGAAGGGTTTTGCCTGGTTTGGGGTGCTGGAAGGAGGTAAAGAACAAAGGGGAGTATGGCTTCATGGAGGAGGTGGCACCTGCCCTGGGTCTTGCTAAACACCAGCCAATAGGGCCAGACATGTTGGAGCAGACTGCCCGGGGTGCGGCTCTGGTGTAGGGATCCTGGAGTCATGCCGAAAGAGGTTTGTTCCCAGCATATTTATCCAGAGAAGTGCTGGACCTGGAGGTAAAGTAGTGTCTGGAGTCCAGGAATGCTGAGCTGGGGAATCCTTGTACCCAGGCACCAGGGAGTGACAGGCAAGCCAGAGATGATGGTCAGAAACCTGGAGTGTGGGAAGAACAGTTGAAGATCAAGTTCCCTAGATCCCTAAGAGAATCTAAGGAAAGTTCTTAAAGGGACTGAGCCAGGAGTCTGGGCAGGATCCTTTGATGGCAAAGAAGAGAATCTAAGGAAAGTTCTTAAAGGGACTGAGCCAGAGTCTGGTCAGTGTGAGTGAAGGGGAATGGAATAGTTAGGACTTTTGGTTACAAGTCAACAAAATCTGATTAATGCAAACTTAAGCAAAAAGAGAGGTAGGCCAGGCATGGTGGCTCATGCCTGTAACCCCAGCACTTTTGGAGGCTGAGATGAGATGATTGCTTGAGTCCAGTAGTTCGAGACCATCCTGGGCAATATGGCAAGACTTCATCTCTACAAAAAATTTTAAAAAAATTAACCGGGCGTGGTGGTGCATGCCTATAGTTCTAGCTACTTGGGAGGCTGAGGTAGAAGGATTGCCTGAACCAGAAGGTTGAGGCCACGATAAACCATGATTGTGCCCCTGCACTTCAGCCTGAGTGACAGAGTGAGATCTCAACTCAAAATAACAACAACAAACAAAAACTTAAAGGGATGCTTACTGGCTCATGTAATTGGGACATTCTAGCACTGCTAGATTCAGAGACCCAATTGCACCCCCTTGCTCTCTCTGCTTCTGCTTCTCTCTCTATGACCCCACTCTCCTTCCAGATGGACTTCTTCCATGTTCTTTCACCTGCCAGATGGGTTCCCAGTTCATATTGCCCCAAATTAATAACCTCAGATAAAATAGAGCCAAATCTCCCAGCATCCCTAAATAAGAGTGCTGGAGAGTGACCCAGCTGGAGTCACATGCTCATCCCTGGATCATTCAGTCACTGTGTTCAGGGACATTGGTGAAGCGATGTGGAGAATCTCGTGAAAATTTAGAGATGGGCACCATAACCAAGCCTCAATGGGGACTTGGGAAACTGTCAGGACCAGAGGCGTCATCTTCTCAGGGCAGCATGGTTTCTCTCATGAGGTCTTTGTTGCCCTCTGCACACCCCTTTCCATCTTTATCTGCTGATCAGCTCATTCCACTCACAGCGAGTTTCTACCCGCTCTGAGCTTTACATTGCACATAACCATGACCTGCTGAGGCACACCCAGGTCTCTGGGGAGCCAATTGATTTCATAGCGTTCTCAGATTCTATTTCTGTGGTGACTACCCAGACACTGATTCCTAATTCGTTTCCTGAGAAAGAAGAATCTGATTGGCCCCGGTAATCTTTTCAAGTCAGCCACACAGTTTAGAGGTCACTGAACTCAAAACAACGAAGTGCAGGTGGTTCACTTTTGTGTCAAGTGCTCAGCCCCATCCAAATAGCCACTCTATACATTCTCCCTGTGACTTCATCCTTTACATCCATGAAGTACCTGAGTCGACCCCTCCCTCAATTTATTAGGTATTGCTGTGAAACAAGCCACCCCAAAACTTAGTCTTTTAAACAATAATTTTTATTTTATGTGATTCCATGAGTTGGTTGGGCTTATCTGGAAGGTTTTATTGCTTCATGTGGCATCGGCTGGGGTCACCCATGCAGATACATTCCACTGGGAGTTAGGCTGGGGCTGCAATAGCCAGAATGGCCTCACACATATTTGACAATTGGTGCCAATAGTCACCTATGGAACCTCAATTCTCCTCCACTGGCTTCCTATCTCCTAGGGCCTCCTGGTCTCATCATGTGGCCTTTCCAGCAGTATAGTCCAGACTTCTTTACATAGTAGCTGACTCCCAAGAGGGCAAAAAAGGAATTTGCAAGGCCCTTAAGACGTAAGCTGAGAAACCTCATAGCATCCCTTCTACCACATTCTATTGGTCAAAGCAAGTCACAGGGCCCTCAGAATTAACCCCGCCTCTGGATAGGAGTGTCAAAGTCACATGACCAAAGTGTAGGCAGCATGAACAGGCAGGATTCCAGAGCCATCTCTGGAAACAAATCTACTAAGCCTGGAGGCAAGTCTAAACATAATTCTCCCAATCCTAAAGCTGTTGTTGTTGTTGTTGTTGTTACTTCCCTTTTCCTCCCACAAAAGGTTTGATTGTTTCCTCTCAAGATATAATAGGGGCTGGAAAGATTCCCTCCTCCCAGAGGCCCTCCTAGCTAAGCTGGTATTTTCTCTTGCTACTCTTGCTCACCTGTGCACCCCTTAGAACAGGGGTCCCCAATCCTGGAACAGTGAACCGGTACTGGTCTGTGACCTGTTAGGAACCGAAGCACAGCTGGAGGTGAGTGGCGATAGTAGAGGTCCTTCTGCTGTCAGATCAGTGGCCACATTAGATTCTCACAGGAGTGTAAACTCTATTGTGATCTGTGCCTGTGAGAAATCTAGGTTGCCTGCTCCTTCTGAGATTCGAATGCCTGATAATCTGAGGTGGAGCTGAGGCAGTGATGCTAGTGCTGGGGAGCAGCTGCAAATACAGACTAAGATTAGCAGTGAGGTTTGACTCTTTCCGCCTTCCCCCGTCCTACTCCCCCCCCCCCCCCCCGTCCATAGAAAAATTGTCTTCCATGAAACTGGTCCCCCATGTCAAAAAGATTGGAGACTGGTGCCTTAGAGAAATGCTTCTTATCTGCTATGTGGTCTGTGCCTTGGGATGGGTGACATTGGCATCGGCATCCTGGGACTAGTTCAGGGCTCTGCACCAAAAGGGAGAATGCTCTGGGATTCCAGGATGGTGGTCTAAGGTACAGTACTTTGGTTCCAAAAGCATCTCTACCCTCCCTCTCTCCAGCCCCTTCATAGCGTGCAATGAACCACTCCAAGCTAGGCAAATGGGACCTGGGAATGGTCACCAAGGGGCCAGCAAGAATTCGGGTTCTCACTCCCTGGGCGTCCCTCCTATCTGGTCTTCCACCAGGCCGAGGGGATGCTGGCCTTGCCACGGACTTCAAGGCCCTCTCCACCGTGGTGGGGAAGAGCTGCCTGGCTGGGCCCTACACTGCGCTCCATGCTGGAAGAAGGCTCATGATCGGAGCTCTCCATCCATCACCTCCTGCCTGTCTGAGAGAGGAACTGGGTTCTGACTGTTCCGAATCCCAGGGTCCTTGCACCTAAGAGGAAGATAGGCGGCTAGTTTTGGGGCTGCAAGGAGAGACACAGTTGGCTTTTCATTTTCTCCTTTGGGGATCACTATTCTTGCAGGGGTAGGGGGAGTTGCCTGGCCTCTCCTCTTTTTGAGCCCTTGAGCGCCTGGGAAGAACATCATTCTCGCAACCTCGAGCCCGCAGCAGCCCGCAAGCTGGGCTTCAGACTTCCTTCTTCAGAAAGCAGGAGAGGCCCTCCCCACCCCCAGGTGGCTTCGGGCGTGGGTCGGTTGGGGACCCGGAGCTCAGCTATCCCTCAATACACGTACAACAGCAGCAGCAACTGCAGCACACAGGCGACAGTGAGGGCGAGTTTGCCCCCCCCCGGCGGGCGGGGCCCCGGCTCACACGCACACCCTCCTGCGCTGCCCCCCTTCTCTCGCCCGGGACGAACCTCCCTCCTGCAGCCCAGCCCCGCGAGCCCCGCGTCTCCGCCGCCGCCTGCTCTGGCCGGGCCGGGTGCAAGCCGGAGCATGGAACCTGGGGAACCCCAGGAGCCCCGTGAGCCCAGGCCGGGAGCAGAGAACGCCGCGGTCCCACGCTGGGAGGAAGCCAAGACTTTCTATGACAACCTCTCGCCCAAGAAGAAACCCAAATCGGTAAAAGCAAGGCATGGATGTGGGGGCGGCTACAGAAGGTTTGCTCAGGGGAGGGGTCGTAAGCCCACTGGGAAGGGACCCGTGACACCGCTCCGGGAGGAGACGCAGCTCCTCAGCCCCAGAACGCGCCCGGCAGCTGGCGCGGACTCGGGTTTATTTTGGGAGCTCTGCTCCGGTGTATTTTTTCCGGGGCTTCGGTTCCACGCCAGGATCCCCCTCCCCCACGCTGTCATCAGGGCCCAGCTAGCGACCCACAGCCCCAGCCCCTCCCCGCGCGGGCAGTCAGGGCGCGCGGACAGCACTTGTTGGCGAGGGTGATCGGCGGAACACGCCGAAGCGCCCCGGGCTCGGGTGACCAGACTCTGGAAGCCCAGCCCCTCGTTGTGTTTTCTGGTCTCCGCCATCTGGGCATCGGGCTCCCGACCCGAGCCTCTGCGTTGGGGCTCAGGATCCGGGCTTGCATCCTGGGCTCGGAGCGAGTTCTGCGCTCCCGCGTCCTAAGGGAAGAGAGCCCTTCGCTCGGGGCACTGGAATCCGCACTCTGTGCCCAGTGTTCGGCGCTCCGGGCCCCAGGCTCTCAACGCTTGATTCTGCGTCCTAACTGCCTGCTCTGCTCCCCTCGCAGAGGGTGTTAACATCCCCACAAGCCCCGTGGTGGTGTCAGCCCCTTGACCTTCACAAATAGGAAGTTTATGATGCCCTGGTCCGCCTCTGGGCCTCACTCACTCCAGCTTCCCAGAGCTCAGAGCTTGTGAAGGAGACTGAGAATAGAGGCTGGCCCAGAGCGGTCCTCCGAAGAGTTCCGATTTGATCTTAAAGCATCCCACTTCTTCCCTCCAAAGACCCTTCCACAGGAGGCCAACCCCACAAGCAGTCGTTCGCTGGGCACCTCCAGGCTCCACTCAGCAGTGGGGACTGAGAAATGGACTAAGCAGGAGCTCACGGTGCACTGTTGAAGCTCAGGAAATGAGAGCATGAGAGAGGGAGTGTCTTCAGACGGAAACGTTATACTTTGTAGAGGTGGCCTTTGAACTGAACTTAAAGCCGGAGTAGGCAGAGTTGCAGGGAACCAGGATGGGCAAAAGACATGGAGATGTCTTTGAGACTCAGGACTGTGCTGCTACATAAGTGCTGAGTGGAGGAATGCTGGATTGTTGGGAGAAGACACAGGGATAGGAGAGAGCCTGGGAATGGCGTGAGGTTTTGTTAAGTAGCCTGGACCTTATTCAGGGAGGTTAGGGGTTTCCAAACTAGTTTCTGTGGAGCCCCATGTTTCAGGGAGTTTGCATACATGTGAATCCAGTTTCTTTCTTTCTTCTTCAAACTATGTTTTAAACAATTAAAAATGAGTAATGGAAACTCAACTCATTCAAATGCAGTAGGTGGACATTTTAGCACCTTGGAGACCACTAACTTATTAACTTGTTCTGCAGGTTGATTATTTCTTTTATTTTTTTTTGAGTTGGAGTCTCACTCTGTCACCCAGACTGGAGTGCAGTGGCCACTCCCGGCCACTGCAGCCTCACCCTGCTTCCTTCCGCCTCAGCCTTCCAAGTAGCTGGAACTACAGGGGCGCACTACCACGCCTGGCTAATTTTTGATTTATTGTAGAGATGAGGTCTCACCAAGTTGCCGAGGCGGGTCTCGAACCCTCAGGCTCAGGCAATCCACTCACCTTGGCCTCCCAAAGCGCTGGGATTACAGGCTGAGCCACCAAGCCCAGCCTGATTATTTCTTAGCAAACCTCAGAATAGCTTTTTCTGTGAATGGTTTAAGAGAAGAGCATCTTGAGATTGCAAAGCCTACAGTCTAAAACGAGGCCAGGTGCAGTGGCTCAGCCTGTAATCCCACACTTTGGGGGGCTGAGGCAAGAGGATTACCCAAGCTCAGGGGTTCAAGATCTGCCTGGGTAACTTGGTGAGACCTCGTCTGTACAATAAATCACAAAAATTAGCCAGGCGTGGTGGCATGCGTCTGTGGTTCCAGCCACTTGGAAGGCTGAGGCAAAGGATTGCCTAAGCCCAGCAGGTGGAGGCTGTGGTGGCCGTAAATGTGCCACTGCACTCCAGCCTGGGTGACAGAGTGAGAATCCAACTAAAAATAAAGAAAACAAAAGAAAACAAAAAACCTCTTATCATTTGCAGCCACTTATTGGTGTGAATCAAGACTTTCTCAACCCTGTGCAAAAGCAAACACAAAAACAAATTGACTGGATGCTGAAGCTTAAGTCTGCACTGGCATCCTAACCCCTAGTTTCAAATTTGCTGTCATCCAAACAATTGTGTTGTTTTCATTGGTTGAGTTTGTAATAAATATATTCATATAAATGTAATATATTTAGGATTTGTAAAAATAAATTTATAACAATTATGTATGGTAATATCTGTTTTACATATTGGAGTTCTGCCCAAGACTTTCTTTGAATAAAAGGTCAACCTACTTAAGAATATATGTGTGTGTGTGTGTGTGTGTGTGTGTGTATAAATCATATGGAGCTATTGAAGGATTTTTCATTAGGGAATTAGCTTGGTCCCATTTTTATTTTAGAAAGATCACTCTGGGGCAGTGTGTTGGATGGACTGGAAAGGGTGAGTCTGGCAGAACATACAGCAGTAAGTAGGCTGGTTCCTGCCTGAAGAGGAAGCTGGACAACTGTTGTGGACTAAGGAACAGAGAGGAGGGGATGGAAATCGGACACTGGGGTAGTGAATGCATCAGTGCTCAAAATCCATTTCTTCCTCAAGCACCAAGGAATTGAGGAGCTGAGGCCCAGTGGCCAGTCATGACCCCTGGGTCAGCCTCTGACCCTCACGGTTCTCTGGGAGGCAAGAAGCCTGGAGGCTTCCCAGCTCCTATTCCTTCCTGCAGTAACCCCCCTTCCCACAGGCTATTTTGGGGGCTTTAGGCCTCATGGGCCCCATCAGGGTCTGTTCTGTGCTTATTCTTATTTCCAGGGGTCTGAGTGAAGTATTTAAACCCTGATTGCCCATTGGAGGCCTCACCTCATGGGGTCAGAGCACTTCCTCAGTCCAGAGCTCTCCTGCCGTGCTCTCCTCCAGCAGCCCTTCACTAAGTCCTACTAGAAATAACAGTTTTCTGGCTATGTTCCTATCTTGGGCCCAATAAGCAGAATCATGTTGGCCTACATGGGAGCTCCTCAGGCAGGCCAGGTGGGTTGGGCTGCCGCCCATTATTCCTCCATTCCCATCCCCAAGTCAGAGTCATCAGCCTGTTCCTCAGCCCCAGGGGAAGGCAGAAAGAGCTGGCAGGACCCTCACTGAGCCCCTGAGTTGTTCTGACCCATTTCCCAGTCTGGGATCTGGACTTCTTTCTGATTTCTGGAGGACCTGTTCCTAGCTGCCCCTGGCAACACATGACTGGCTGGCCTCTCTCTGCAGCCAGGCCCAGGAAGGTCTACACACATGGCTTCTTTCCAGCTCTGGCCAACCCCTTTCACCTGTTCCTTCATCTCTGCCTGGAGCCTAGACAGGTCATTTATCTATCCCAGCTGAGATCTGTTTCCTACACAGCTCATACCCGCTGAGTCCCTAGACTCCACCCCATTTGTACTGGGTCAGAGCAGTCCGAGTGGGGAGACAGGGCCCTGCCCCTGAGACCTCCATTTTGAGGGTAAAGAGAGCCTTGCCCTTAGAAACCTCAGTCTGAAGACATGATGCCCTTCACCATATTTCCCAAATCCAGAAAGGGGGGCTGGGAGAGGGGTTTCCAGGGAATGAGCTGAAATAGTAGGGATTGAGTCTTCTGGGAGCTATTGAGGAAGGGCATGTCGGGGGGACGGCTGTGTGGACAGAGGCCAGGCTAGAGCCCAGAGATTCGGTGTCTCATCTTGGCTCTGCCATGACCTACAGTAATACTCTGTCCCTCTCTGGACCTATGTCCCCATCTGGAAAAGAGAGAAGCAGAGACACTTGGGGCCAATGCAGCCAGGACATTTTTCTTGCAATGCTAGGAGTGAAATGGGATGGGATGTGAATAGCTCAGCCAGAGGGGACCCAGTCTGGCAGAGATTGTGGGACAGAAAGTGAGGAGCAAGACCTTGGCTGGCTGCCTGGGCTGGAGCAGCGGGCTTGAAAACCTGCCCGAAGGGGTTGGGAGGGCAGCTGGCTCTCTGTCCTTGAAGGGATGATGGGCCTGTCCTTGAAGCAGTAAACCCAGGGGGTGGGGCATGCTCAGCTCCTGTTCCGAAGGCCTACCGGCCTCCTGGATTTATGAGAGTGAGTCTTCCCATCCGCCCCACCCTTAGGACACACAGACACCGTGGTGATCTGCAGTTGTGAGAGGCATTTGGGTTGAGCCTCAGAGGAGAGGCACTTGTCCCACCACTGCCTTACGCTGACCTTGATGGTCACATACAACATCTTGGTTGGGATTAAAAGTCAAATGCAAACTGAGGTCCACCACATGACTTTGGAAACCTTTTTTTGTCTTCCATTCCCATTTTAAGGTTCTAAAGCTATATTGGCCACTAACCATATGTAGCTAAGCTAATTAAAATGAAATAAAATTTAAAATTCAGTTCCTCAGTCTCCCTAGTCACATTTCAAGTTGTTCCATAGTCACATGGACAGCACAGATTATGGACTATTTCCGTTATCGCAGACAGTTCCATTGGGCAGTGCTCTTTTAAAAGATGGCATAAGTCTCTGCCTTGTACCTGAATTGTTTTCTGTCATGTCCCCTACACAGTGTCTGTCACATGGTAAGCACTCAATGTTGTTAACTAATTGAAGCCCAGACTTCACCCCAGGGGTTGAGTAGACTCACAGGACTATCAAGATCAAGACAGAATGCTTCTGGGCCCCTTTTTTCACATCTGTAAAGTAAGAATTATGACCCCAGGACTGCTTGGGTCAGAGATATGGTGGGACTCAATGTGAGTCCCCTGGGCACCCACGTTCTGATCCTCCCCAGAGATTATAAAAGGTCCAACTGCTGTCTGAAGTGGCATGCTCCTCTCCCCATTCCATTGGAGGTGGGCATCTTAGTCCATATGGGCTACTGTAACAAAACTATGTTTCTCACAGTTCTGGAGGCTGGAAATAGAAGATCAAGGTGCTGGAAGATTTGGTGTCTAGTGAAAATCCATTTTCTGGTTCACAAAAGGTGCTTCTACCTGTGCCCTCACATAATGGAAGGGAGGCAAGGCAGCTCTCTGGGGTCTCTTTTATAAGGACATTAATCCCATTATGAAGACTCCACCCTCATAACCTAATAATCTCCCAAAGGCCCTGCCTTTTGATACCATCACCTTGGGGCTTAGGTCTCAACATATGAGTTACGAGGTGACACAAATATTTAGAATACAGAGTAGAAAAAGTGTTCTGGGGCCCACTTAGGCATCCAAGATAAGGACCTCTGTAATCTGTCATCTGCCTACTCTCTGGGCTCATCTACACCCACCCACACATGTACTGGCCTCTGCTTACCTCTGTGAGTGCCCTGTCTATGGGTGTATTTCCTCTCCTCATAACTTCCATCACCCTACTGCTTCACCCAAATTCCTCTCCCAATTGCTTCACCCTACTTTTCCTTTAAGGCTTTACTCAAAGCCTTCCCTCCCATGACAACTTCCTCTGAACCCTTTTCGTCAATACTTTGCTTTCACCTCTGTTCTATCTCTCATGTTCATTTATGCTGTTATAACAGAATACCACAGACTGGGTAATTTATAAAAAACAGAAGTTTATTTGGCTCATGGTTCTGGAGCTGGGAAGTCCAAGAACATGGCGCCAGCACCTGGCAGGGTCATCCCATGGCAGAAGGCGCCACATGGCAAGGAAGCACATTTGAGAGAGACAAACAGAGAGAGAATGGAAGTCAAACTTATCCTTCTATCAAGAGCCTACTCCCTCAATAATGAACCCATTCCTATAATGGCATTAATCTACTCATGAGGGGTAAGCCCTTATGACCTAATCACTGTTTAAAGACCCCATCTCTCAATACTGCAGCATTAGGGGTCAAGTTTCTATCACAGTAACTTTTGGGGACATATTCAAACTGCAGCAGCTCATTTCCTTCCCTTTTGCATCTGAGTTTTATTTACCTGTCATTCTCCCCTACCAACCTGCGGGCAGGAACTAGGTGTTTTCCAGGACCACTAACCAGAATATAGGTGCCTGGCATGAAGAACCAGTAAGTGTCAAATTTATATCAATCAAAAAAATTATCTAGCACCTACTATATATCAAGCAATCTGAACAGAGTGGGCACGACACTAGACTTTCTATTTCGTGTTCAATTTGCCATTGCACATATTGTTTCTCATTGAAATATGTCAAGTATGTTAAAATATATTAAAAGTTCAGTGGCATTAGAAGTTTACTGAATACCTATCTGGGCACTGGAGATATACTAATAAACAATATACTTAGAGATATACAGTATACTTTCTCATGGCTCCTGCTGTCTTAGAACTTAAGCATGGTTCCTGCTTCCTCCCTAGAACTCTGCCTGGAAAGAGAAATAATTAAATAAGTTAAATTTTACTAAGAAGGAAATCCAGAGGAGAGGTATCAAACTAAGACTAGGGGTGAGGGAAGTCTTCCTAGAGGTGACATCTAGTTGAGTAGAAGTTAGGTAGATAAAGAGGGCGAAAAAAATTAGGTAAAAGGAGCATCATGTGAAAAGACTCAGAAAAAGAGGGGAAGATAAGAAAGGTAAGATTGAGCAAAGCTGGGGAACCGGAAGGTAACAGTGAGAGGTAGGGGTCTGCTGTGAAGGGTTCCCTGCTCCATACTAAAAACTGCTGACCTTATTCCGAGAAGAGTGGGCGCTACTGAAGGGGTAGGCTGTGACCAGATCTGAACTTTAGATAAATGCCCTGACAGATTGGTTGGGGTAGGAGATGGTGGGGACCTGGACAGAAAAGAAGTAGATGGAGTCTAGTAGAGCTGACTGTTTTTGGTGATTGATTGATGGGGAAGAGAATTGAGGTGAATTTCCGAGTTTCTGCTTGGGTGATGAGTGGATGGTGGTGCTGAGCACTGAGAAAAAGGGAGTAGGACCAGGTTTGGAGTGGAGACGGTGGTAGGAATTCAGTCTTGGGAATGTTGAGTTTGAATGTGTTAGTCAACTAGGGCAGTCATATATATGAGTCTGGAGCTCAGAAGACAGATCTAGGCTGGAGATAAATCTTTTTATGTAATTGTCATATTTATGGGCACCCTTTCTTCCTAAGGGCATGTAGCTTTTGTTTTATAATGAAAACCATCTGGAGATCATCTTCAGCATCAGTCATACTTTGGCCACATATATTGTCTTCATTTTTCTGTTGTGTCTAGATGGTCAACTAGATTGCAAACTTCCTGAGGGTCTGTCCATTCCTCCATCAGACTGTGCTTCCAAGGGTGAGCCAGCACCTCCCTCAATCCCCAGCTGGGTCCTGCATAGATGGGGTCCTAACCTAAGTTCATCCCTGCCTAAGGCTGAGCCTCTTATGGTGGAGACTGGGCCCAGGTCCTCTCCATGTTCCCAGTATAGTACCTGGAGAGTTTGCACATGAGCAGGGAGGTCTGAGTGATTGTCCCTCCTCCTGCATCTCTGCAGCCCAAGCCTCAGAATGCGGTCACCATTGCTGTGTCCTCCCGAGCCTTGTTCCGTATGGACGAGGAGCAGCGGATCTTCACAGAGCAAGGTGTGGAGGAGTATGTGCGCTACCAGCTGGAACACGAGAATGAGCCCTTTAGCCCCGGGCCAGCCTTCCCTTTCGTGAAGGTGAGAGGACAGTTCCACCACTAGCCCATACAGTGCTATTGTGGGGATTCAGTAAAAGCACTCCTGGCCAGGCACAGTGGCTCACACCTGTAAGCCCAGCGCTTAGGGAGGCTGAGGTGGGAGGATCACTTGAGGTCAGCCTGGGCAACATAGTAAGACCCTGTCTCTACAAAAAATGTAAATAATTAATCAGGCATGGGAGTATGTGCCTATAGTCCCAATTACTCAGGAGGCTGAGGAGGAAGGATTGCTTAAGCATGGGTGTTAGAGGCTACAGTGAACCATGATCATGCCAGGCACTTTAGCCTGGACCACAGAGCAAGATCTTGTATCTAAATAATAATAATATGAAAAAAAGCACTCCCATGTGTGTCTGAGTAAGGAAAAGGGGCCCTCTCTGGGCAGATGCAACCCTACAGATGCATGGCTTAATTAGGGGTCAGAGCCTTTGCAGGAAGAAGAGGCCACCTCACCCTCTGGATTAATGGCAGTTCCACACTGATAGCCAGCTTGATGAGTGGACTATGGACTGGATTTCAGCCCCACTCACCCCTTTAGTGAGATACTTTTGAGCAGTAAACAGCCCATGCAATGGTAAACAGCGATGTTAGGATGAAGTTCATGTGCACTGATCTCATCTCAAGCCTGGCCCCTGACCTCCCCTCCCCTCCCCTCCCCTCTCCTCGCTGGATCCCTGGTCACCAACTTCAGGTATCAACTGTTGGGGGGTCTGAGCTGGAGGATGCTCTCTTCCTTCCAGGCTCTGGAGGCTGTGAACAAGCGGCTGCGGGAGCTGTACCCTGAGAGTGAGGACATCTTTGACATCGTCCTCATGACCAACAATCATGCTCAAGTGGGTGTTCGCCTCATCAACAGTATCAACCACTATGGTGAGCATGAGCATGTTTTTGGCCCTGGGATACCCCTGCCAGACTCCCCAGGGGCAGAGCCATACCTCTGCAGGGTGAGGTTGGACCAAGTGGAATTCCAAGCCCAGTGTTATGATAGTAATCTGGCCTTTTAAAACAAATAAACAAACAAAATCTAGTTTTCAGGGTGTAAATATTCCTACGAGGGTTGATTTCAAGTTATCAATGGATGAACAACATAACTGGCTTACACAATTCTTGAATATTTAACCATCAGCTCTTGCAAGCCAGTCCAAGCACAGGCTCCATGCCCAGTGTGGTTGGGCCGGGCACTTACTGCCTCTGTGCCTCAGTTTCTGTAACTGTTCTAGGACTAACAGCCTCACAAGGCTGCAATTGTCAGAGTGAAAGGGCTTTGTGTCTTAGTTCAAACTGGTGTTTGAAAATAATAGACCCTTCAGAGCTAGGTTATGCTGAAGAGAATAATTTTTTACTAGGTTACAAGGGTGTCTCTCGGAGGGCAGGAAATAAAATTGAGTTTACAAAGGCCTGAATCCAAGTACTGAAAATTTATCTTGGGCTCCTCTTCTCTCTGGGCCATGTTAGTCCTTATTTGTGCTTCTCTAGCAAGTTTGATCCTTTTTCCCTTTTTCTGTCTCTCTCCTCCCAAACTGCATCTCTCTGCTTTTCCTGAATAAAAATCATATTCAAGAAATGCAGAGAAATCCAGTTTGAAGGGGGAGAGAGAGGGAAATGAACCTATATTTATGTTTATAAGGCCTTGTTCTTAGCAACCAAGAGAATCCAGTTGGCATTTATTTTTCTTTCTTTTCTTTTCTTTTTTTTTTTTTTGAGATGGAGTCTCACTCTGTCACCCAAGTTGGACAGCAGTGGCACACTCATAGCCATTGCAGCTTCAACTTGCTGGGCTCAGGTGATCCTTTCGCCTCAGCCTTCCAAGTAGCTGGAACTACAGGCACGTTCCACCATGCCCAGCTATTTTTAAAAATTATTTATTTATTGTAGAGATGAGGTCTTGCCAAGTTACCCAGGTTGGTCTCAAACCAGTGGGCTCAGGTAAGCCTCTCACCTTGGCCTTCTAAAGTGCTGGGATTATAGGCGTGAGCTACCACACCCAACCGCAGTTGGCATTTTTTAATCCTAGTTTCAAATTACTGGGAGTAGGGGTGATATTCAAAATATTTAGCCACCTTTGTGACATGGGCACTGAGTAATCAGGACAGATACCACCTATAGTAATGAAGAAGGGCTCTGAAGGACCCCTGCCATGCTAGGCATTACCCTCTTCTCTTGTGGACTGTGGGGAAGACGGGTCTCAGAGAAGGGGCTGGGACAGTGATAACCCAATAGGCTCAGATCAGCAGCCATTGATAAACTAGCACATATTTTACAACCTAGCAGCCATGGAACCAATTGACTGGCAGTTCAGGCTGTGAGAGAATTGGATTGGCCCAGCTTGGGTCTGGTGTCTTTCCCTATCCAATCAGCTATGGCCAGGAGGGCAGGGTCACACAGGCATGGCTGGACCCTAAGCACCATAATTCCTTGACAGGAGGATGTTACTGTGGAGCCAGGTAATTGCTCCGAAGATGTGATCATCCCCATTTCATGGATGAAGAATGGAGGGGTTCAGAGGGGAAACATTGGCCTAGAATCACACAGAGAATCACTTTGCTGCTGTACCACTACCTAGAACCAAGATGGTATCCACTGGGCACAGAAAGACCACTTGAGGCCCTGAGGGTTGATCCTGGCCTCACCTGGGTACTCTCTACTTCTTCCCCAGACCTGTTCATTGAGAGGTTCTGCATGACAGGTGGGAATAGCCCCATCTGCTACCTCAAGGCCTATCACACCAACCTCTACTTGTCAGCTGATGCGGAAAAAGTGCGGGAAGCCATTGATGAGGGTAAGTCAAAGTGAGGAGGGATAAAATGGGAAGTCCAACAAAGGGGTCCTGGGATAGGAAGCCTAGTCCTAAAGCTCTGGGCAGGTTCTGGGAGTTGTCATGACAGCTGGAAGGGAGGCTGTGCTGTACTTTCCTTAATTCTTGTTATCTGTCTCAATTCTGAAAACGAGGCCCTACCCCTTCCACTTTCCCATCTCCAGCCCTACTGTGTTCAGGATGCTTTTAATCCTCAGCATCACACAGCCTTCGGTCTCCATGGAAACCCTCCTTACAGCCCAGAAAGCTACTCCTTTCTAAGATTCCTCCAGGTCAGTAGAAGTTCTGATTCCTGTATGACCATGGGCAGCCTCTGCCTTGCTCTGGGCCAATGGGGAGGGGAATCATACCTAGTCCAGCCTGAGTGGTGGGTTCTTGGAAATGGCCAGCATCTTCAGCAGCCAGAGAGTCAACTTCAAGTACTGACAAAGAGAATGTCCCTCCATGTGTCTATTTCGAGGGGCAGTGTTGGGTGGTATCTGTAATCTCAGTCCTCCTGACCAGGTGCAGTCCTATCGCACATGGAAGAAAACAGCCCCACAGAGGAGGAAGGACTGCCCTGCTGCCTGAGAGGGCTCCTGAGGCTGAATGCTAGCGGAAGGTTTCTTTATCAATCAACAATATATTCACTTTTCTCTTCCTCTTTCATGCTGCCTCCTGCTGGAAGTATGGCCTTTCTCCCCTTGATGCCTTTCTGCCCTGAGCTGCTTAGGAGCTCCAAGAGGCTTTCCTTAACTAGGAACCAGGAGCCATTTCCCTAGACAAATGTCACACCCTCTGGTTGGGACCTTGGCACTGGCATGTAGGTGTGCCTCTGTATATTTGTAACTTGACCTTAGGCTAGGGAGCAGGGGAGTGGTCGGGAGGGAGGCCCTGCTCAGGGTTGGGGTGATTCTGGCTCACCTTGCTTCCTGCATTGGCAGAGCTGAGAGGGTGCCTGGTCTGAGGCCTGAGCCTGGGCCTGCTTGTAGCATCCTCAGCCTAGTGAAGTTATATGAGGCTGGCACGGCTCACTCCTCCTGAAATTCTGCCTAAGCCCTGCCTCCATGTCTTCAACTTCCAAAGAGCAGGGCTGACATTGCCTTTGGAGAGATGGAGACGAGGGATTGGTCTCAGCTGGCTGCCCAGCTCTCCATCCTCCTAGTACCGGCTCTCTGCTATCTAGGGCAGCTCTAGCCTGGAGCCTGAGTCCTCAGTGGGCATCCTTGACCCCTTCAAGGAGCCCAGGGTTACAGAAGGTCTGTACACACAGCTAGTCATCACTTGTGCTGCCTCCCAGGGCCACCCAGATGTCTCCTGGAACCTGAAAGACCAGTAGGGTATAGCTGGGTACCACTGTAGCTATACACAGAGGGTACCGATACCCACCCACCTCAGATTGGAGCCTGGGGTCTTAGCCCTAGACAGAGCTTAAAGGCCCCTAATTTTATCGTGGTCTGGAGGAGGTGAGCAACTTGCCAGAATCAACTGAGAGGGAGTGACCGAGGCCAAGCCAGAGCCAGTGTTCCTTCCTGGCCCTGCAGGTCTGTATCAGAGGCCTGTGAGGAACTCCTGTGAGGAGAGCAGTGGCCTGTGGGATTCTTCCTCCCAGCCAGGACTGATGTTTGGCTGGTCCACGCCAGCGTGACCTTACTGGGTATTTAAGTATTGAAGTTCTGTCTTACTGGTTGGTAAGTATTTCCTGCCCTGAGTCCTCTGAGTGCTCTTGTACCCCCTGGGGCTTCCCCAGACCTTTCCACAAAGCAGCAACCAAAAGGATAACCTGTCTAGGTGAGGGCCCTCAGAGCCCTGCTTCAGAGCTATGACTACTGCCCACTTCTTGGCCAGGGCCTGTGCACTACCAGTTTTTAAATATGTTTAGTGTTCGCCCTCAATAGCCTTGCCCTGAGTCCTAGGCAAGGCAGGTGGGGCAGGGATAATCAGAGATAGCCCATTCCTGCCCTTAGGCGGGAGAGTGCCTATTGCCGGGCCTGAAGGCAGACAATGCTTGCCTCTCTCTGCCCAGGGATTGCAGCTGCCACCATCTTCAGCCCCAGCAGGGATGTGGCTGTGTCCCAGAGTCAGCTGCGTGTGGCTTTCGATGGGGATGCTGTGCTCTTCTCTGATGAGTCGGAGCGCATCGTCAAGGCCCATGGGCTGGACAGATTCTTCGAGCACGAGAAGGCCCATGAGAACAAACCTTTGGCACAGGTACTCCACATAGTCCCAGAATCCTTGAATAGAACAAGGCAGCTCCCCAGACCTGCCCTTGGCCTACGCCCCCAGCTCAGGACCAAACCCCAGGCTCAGCCCAGATTCCAACCAGGTCCTCTCAGCAAACTTCAAGTCCTCATCCCTCTCACTTGACACCTGGGTCCCTCCATGGACTTCCCATCTTCATTGAGGCCCCATTCCCCCTGATGGAAGTCCCATCCCCTCCCCTTGAAGCCTCTATTATCTCTCTAAGCCTCCTCTGAAGCCCCACCCCATCTTTACAGTTCAAATTCCCACTTCTAAGGTCTCCATCTCCTTTCTGAGCCCCCATCCCTGAAGTCCTTGTCCTTCTCTGAGGGCCTCATCCTCTCTCTCTGAAACTGCCATCCTCTCTCTGTAACCCTCACCTCCTCCCTGACATCCCCCATCCCTCTGAGTGAGTTTCCATTCCCTTAAAAAGCCTTTCTTTCCCTCACTGGAAATGGGAGGAAAGGAATTGCAGGATGATGCCCCTCACTGGGACAGTAGGTGTGAGGTCCAGGGCAGACCATCTGCTTTGGGACACCCCCTGCCATTCATTCTTCGACTGGGGGCACAGGGATCCTCACCCTTAAACTGCTCAGTGTCTCTCTGAGAGCAGAATATGCCCTAAAGCTTGGTGGAAATTCCCTGGAGTTGGGGCTGTTAGGATTCTCCAGCTCTCCTGGGAGTTGCTCTTTGAGCCTTTAACAAAAACCTGGGTGCTCAATAACCTCAGAGCCCTTTCTCCGAGAGCTCAGCTGGTTTCAGCTGTGGCTACTGAATATTCATTTTCCTTTAGTTCTCGTGAGTTGACTCTGAAATCCTTGGAAATCCAAGGCAGGACAGTTTTCCCACTAAGTGGTAGGCAGAGGCCCAGGAGACCACTGCTTGCTCCAGGTCACCGAGCAAGTGTGGGGTCTCCAAAATTGGAAACCTGCCTTTCTTTATTTCCAGCTGCTTTGAAAATAAGCAGTTTTCTTCATCATTAGCTGGTTTTTAATTTTCACATCCTCATTAAGCTTCATTGTTCTGGGCACTGCAGAGAATAAATCCTCTCCCTGACCCTAGAGAGCTTAAACATGACACCCTGACTCACCTGTGTGTCCGACGGGCACCTGGGATTGTTTGATACTCAGCTGTTACACATTGGGCCATCTGTCTCAGTTGTTTGTAGCTAGAGTCTGTTGTGATTGGAGGGTGCCCATGCCATAGTTACAAAATATTTTTAATATCTTCCCTACTGATGGGCATAGAAAGCTGCATTTACAGAGCTGTAGGACAGACACCCATGTACCTTGGTGGGCACATAGAGGGACATAGATAGTAACAGTTGCCCTGATACTGTTATTCTGACTCAGCCCCAATATACGATAATACAGACATCGGTACCCCTATAGGTACTGATGCCCACCGTGGCCCAAACAGGCATAGCAGAACTAACTGAAAGATTAAGGGATTCTGAGAAGCATTCCCACCCCAAACAGCAAGACAGCAGTGCTTTAAGGGGAGGGGGCAAATGTCAGGAGGCGTGGAGCTCACAGTGTTCGCTTGCCTTCTCCTAGGGCCCCTTAAAGGGCTTTCTGGAGGCACTGGGTAGGCTGCAAAAGAAGTTCTACTCCAAAGGCTTGAGGCTGGAGTGCCCAATTCGTACCTACTTGGTGACAGCACGCAGTGCAGCCAGTTCCGGGGCCCGCGCTCTCAAGACCCTGCGCAGCTGGGGCCTGGAGACGGATGAGGCTTTATTTCTAGCTGGAGCACCCAAAGGCCCCCTTCTCGAGAAGATCCGTCCACACATATTCTTTGATGACCAGATGTTCCATGTGGCTGGGGCTCAGGAGATGGGTACCGTGGCTGCCCACGTGCCTTATGGCGTGGCACAGACACCCCGGCGGACTGCACCTGCAAAACAGGCCCCAGCTGCACAGTAGCTGAGCCACCAGCTGGACTGATCCACATTGCTCCAGGCGCCCTGTCATATTTTGACACCTCATCTGGTAGACCATTCTAGTTCCTCACTGTTCTGCCCTTCTGCCTGTCTGTTCTCCCTATAAATGAGGTATTGTAGGAAGTTATGCAAACTGGGCTGGCATTCCCACCATCCTTCCTTTGGGGCATACCTTGTGCCATGACCAGGACAGTAAGACTGTGTGAAGTAGCTGGACCTCAGAGGGAAGCTGATGGGACTGAGAATGAAAGGATCAGAGAAGTCAGGATGCCTCAAAAGAGGCCTGGGATGAAAACTAGCTCAGTGCAGTCAACGAGTACTGCTTTGTGAGACAGTGAATCTGCCTTCTAAGCTCAGTCCTGGCATTAACCGCATGACTTTGAGTAAGTCTCTTCCTTCATGGACCCCAGTTTCCCCATCTTTTGGGTAGTTTTCAGATTCCCTTTAGCCAAAGAATCTCAGTTCTATAAGATTGCCCTCTTTGAAGGGAGCATTCTGAGCCAGAGCCGCTGCTGGTTTGTATGGCACCTTTATGCAAATTACAAAAGGATACTCTCTCTAGATGAATGAAAGATAAAAAGACCGTCCTTCCTCTGGCCTGGTCCAGACTTGTGCTGGGCTACGCAGCTCGGTTAGCTGAATAAAGACTGGATTTCAGCCCCCATTCACCCCTCCGCTCAGAGGCCTTTGTCACATGGGCAAAGTACATAATCGCCCTCAGCAACCTTATCTATAATTTTACACATTTGGAAACCACTGGACAAGATGGCCTATTTGCTTCTGTGGTTCTTGAACCTGAGCCATCATCAGTGCTCAACTGTCAGGGGGAGGGTTTGTGGAGGGAGAGGAGCTATCTAACCTGCATGCAAACCATACTTCAACCAGCAGGGGGCACTGCAGGCTCTTCCTGGGTAGTTGCTGCTGGCTGTTTTTGCTTTTAGCCAAAGTTGAGTTGCTCTACCTGACAAACTCCTAACCGCCATCCTCACCACTCTAATTATTGCACCCTGCTGTTAAGCAGCTCTATCAGTGGTGAAAGAGGCAAAGCATCTGTGACTATTGTTGTGGCCCCAAATGCAGGGGAAGAAAGTGCAGTGGCTGAAGTGGAGGTGCTGCCTAAGGTGAAATGGGAAGTGTCAGGAGGTCTAGTCTGAGACAAAAGATGCCAGAGACATTGAGCAGGTAGAGAGGAATGAGCTGAAGTGTGCACTAGCCAAATTTCCCAGCTATGATTGTGAGTGGAAGGCCAGTTAGACCCTGGAGGTAGCGAGTATCACAGGATACTGCGTAAAGGCTTCCAGGATGAGGTGACCTCCTCCAAAGATGCATCAGTGAATCCTCCGCATTTTCAGGAGCCCTTGAAGACCTTTCTTCACCACTTCCAGAGAACTCTCACTACCTGATGAGTCAGCTTCCTTCCTTTGCTGAGCAACCCCGGCTCTCTCTGGAGGGAACACGGAAGCACCAATGGCTGGTCCCCTAGGAAGACCAAGAAGGGGTGAACAGTTCAAGAATCTGTGTGTGAACTGATTGCCATGCACTTTGTGAAGAAAACCAAAGGTATTATCAGAGGGGACAATAGCCTGGCGGTATGGGGCAGGAAAAGTGGAAGAAGGGCACCCTGGGACCTGATCCTTCTGGGGACTCAGCTTGGGATCTGAATGGGCACAGGCTCTGGGAAGCATGGGGCAGAGTAGTAACTGCAGAAAGATAATCCAGAAAGGAGACCAAAGTGAGAAGGCAGAGGTAGTTCTCAAACGAACCATGGTTCAAGAGCAAACAGTTTGGACCAGAAGAGAAGCTCTGGACTGGACTTTTGCTGTCAGTGTTGGAGGTTTCCCCGAGGCTGGCCCCAGGGAGGAGGGATATGACTGTGCTGAGTGACTGTGGCAGATACCCACCATGATTACCTATCAGGGGACACTGGCATTATTGCCTGTAGAAGTGCATATAATGACAATATCTTTGCACAAGGTCATTTCCACTGTACAGCCAGGATCCTTCTGGCCAACAGAGAAGGCCTTAGGGCAGAAGGCCTGGCTGGGTCTCCCTCCACCACCAGAGCGCCAAACCTATCCAGTGGTACTGTGAGATCCAAGAACAACCTCAAGGAAATGGAAAGGAAGTGAGAGAAGGAGCTCAGTCTCAGAGTCACCTTCAATCTTGGCTGAACGACAGAAAGGTCTCTGCCTCTCAGGGATCAGAATCACCGTCATGGAGGGGCCTCCAGGGCTCGAAGTGTCCATGGCTGTAAGAAGCGTGCAAGGCTAGGCACAACCCAGGCTCATCAAATGGCATCAGGCTGCCTGACCAGGGTGGACCTATGCACTGAGGGCAGCACCAGATGTCACCTAATTAAGATAAACTGCAGGGATTCTGGGATCCATGAGGTCTTGTCCCCAGGGCCTAGTGATGAGCACCACTGATTATTCCAGGTCGCTCAGGAAACAGGAAAATATGATGCTGGAAGCAGAAAGATAAGGTGCAGTAAAAGCCGTGGATCTCACTGGAGCCATCATTAATAGACATAGACAGCCCTGGGCAATAGAGAGACACTAAGGGTCCAAATTCTATTATTGAAACAGAAACAAGCATCTCAGGCCTGGAAAAAAAGCTTTCCGTAGCTTGAATAAAAGGCCAGAAGTCAGGGTCGGGGGAGGCAAGCTTAGGCAACAGCTACACAGGCCTTCTGATTATAGCAGAGGTGAAGAGGAGTCCAGGGATGAGAAGCTCTGTATATTGTATCACCAGAAAATGAAAAAGCCAGGTGGACACCCAAGCCCCAGACCCAACCAGAGAATTCAGCACTGGGACAAAGGGGCCACAGCTTCTGGAACACTGGACCCCTATAACTGAGAGTACCAATTCCTCAAAAAGTCCTGCAGAACACTGGTCCCAGGAGTTGTTTGCCTTACAAAGTCCCAGACCCAATGGAACTGCCACTTAGCAGAAAAGCAGAAGCCCTTTGATCATACTAACCACCAAGACTGCTAAGACAATTGCAAATCAGCCCCCTCCCCTACATGAGATCCCAATCAGAGAAATGGAGAGGTAGCAGAATATGCTCCCAAAGTTACAAACCAGCAAGAAAGTTCAAATTCAAGATGGATTCAAAATTATAATGATATTTAGTTGGTGTGCGCCAGTACAGTACAGCCAAACTGATGATTAAAATCTTGAAATACCTCCATACCGGTTGGTAAACAGCACTGGCCCCAGTCCCCTAAGTGTCCCTTCATGGCCTCAGTCGATCCTTGCACTGTGAACATCTTCCCATGATCCAGCCTCCAGGAGGCTGTACCAGCACTGTGGCCCGTGTGCACTCTGTTTTGTGGTGTCCCAGCCATGCTGGTTTAGAAAGGCAAAGTAAGTTGCCCAAAGCCACACAGTTAGTAAGTGGCAGCACTGGGCCTCAAACTCATGTCATCCGATGCTGGGACCCAGGTTTTCAACCACTGTGCCACACAACTTATTTGTGTGCATGGAGATAGCAAGAGGAGCTGCATTCTGAGGTCTTTGCTGTGGGAGTTTACCTGACTGTTAGTTAACATGTTGATTTCCTGCATGCTGAAACTCTGGAATACATTTGAGCAGGTGCATTTTTAGCATAGCTTCCTAAACAGCTAAATATAATTTAAACTAGTGCCAAACATTGGCAGATCCCCTGAAGCACTTCCAAACAAGCCCAAGTTCCGTGGAACCCAGTTTGAACGCCCCTGTTTCGGGCTAATGCAGTGTTTGGCAAACGACATCCCTTGGCCAAATCTCATGCGTTGTCTGTTTTTGTAAGGAAATTTTTATTGGAACATAGCCATGTCCATTTGTTTCTATATGTTTATGCCTGCTTGCTCACTACAATAGAAAAGTTGAGTGGTTGCAACAAAGACTGTGAAGCCAAAAATATTTATTATCTGGCCCTTTATAGAAAAAGTTTGCTGATCCCTGGACTAAGGCAAACATCCCTGGCCCACTCCTCAGTGGGACGAGTCAGGTCACATTCACCTAAGCATCTGTGGGCAGAGGTTGGCTCCACTGCTGAGGGGGAAAGATGTGGGGGCTCCGTGCCCATCTGACCTTTGTTTGTTATTTGAGGATTTAAGATTTCAAGTTTTGACTATTTTCAAGTGACCACGGCTCACTGTAATTTGCAATTTTGTTGATAACACAGCTTTGACTAGAGTGTGTCCTCCCAAGTTGATGGGTGAGGGTGTGGGAGCAGGATCCTTGGCTGGGGTTGGTTGGAGTTGAGCCCAGCTGGCTGTCTGGCATCTGCTCAGCATGGCTTTTTGTTCTCAACTGGTCATTGCCCTGTGGGACCTCTTGGGCATTGATGAGTCTGGTAGGTGGATGGGTGATAGCTAAATATAAGTTTTGGATGATGTGGAATGCCCAACATTGATTTCAACAGCTCCAAGTTAACAAGTCATCACTGCTGTCTGTGAAAATAAGAACACGTCCTTCATAAAGAGAGTTCCAGCAAGGGCTTTAGCTGGTTCAGAAGTTACTGATCAAGTAAAGAGAACTCCAGTGAAAGTTGGAATGGCTGTTATCTTGTGGTATGAGGGTGTGAGAAATAAATACACATGCCTCTTACCATGGAATTGTGGATCAGGAGAAATCTAGGACTCTGCAAATGTAGAGATTTACTGAGGCTGCAAGATCTACTGCAAGAATGGCGAATGTGGAAGACATCCCGCCTACAACCATCGTTGCTGTTGTGATTCCATCATGATACTCTTCTCCACTAAGCCTCAGAAACCTTCTCAACCCAGCATTCCAGGTAGCTACTACCAGTCAGCTGGAGTTGGTTGAAAGATGAAACCTATTTTGCCATCCCTATTGGTGTCGGACATTGCTATCCTGAAGACACGCACAGCCCAGAATATTCATCCTCTGAGGCTGTGGTTCAGCTCTGAGGATGCCAGGGTCTCACCTGACTTGAGCAGAACATGAGGAGGTGGGTGACTAGCGTCCTGTGGTTGGCGATTTCCCTGGAAGGGATGCCTGAGAAGCCGTGTCCTGGGTTTTATCCAGTCTCCAAGCAAAGTACAAAATCCCCTGTGGCCAGTAGGTGACACTGTAGGCCAGCACTCAGCTGTAGACAGTTACTTTATTCACTTGGTTCACTTCTCCCTCCTTCCATGCTACATGGTGCTGAGCTAGATTCTCCCCACAAGTAGCTTTGGCCAGCCAAAAAGGACTTCAGGTGCTCTGGAAATGTTTGCTACACATGTCTGTGTGACGAGCTGATTGCTCTCTCCGGTAACCACTGTGATTATGTGATTGGAGGCCACATATAAGTGTGTGCAACAGGGTAAAAGTTGTGCATGTGCATGTGTTTATGTGTGTAATGGGTCAGCCATCTCTGCTGGTGTGTGTGTGTGTGTGTGTGTGTGTGTGTGTGTGTGTGTGTGTGTGTATTTCTCATTGAGTGTGTACAGATGGTTATCTCTGTTAATTAAGTATCCTGGGCTCCATGTACTGATGGCCAGCCCTGTTTCCTGGAATAGTTTTCCCTTGTCCCATCATCTCATGGGCATTTGCATATGTGCAGCTTGGAGACCACTGAGACCAGGTCCCTTAGTCTTCCTCTCCAGCTTCCAGCCTCTGACCAAGG